CGAGTCCCGCATCGGGCTCCCTGCTCGGCGGGGAGTCTGCTTCTCCCTCTGACCCTCCTCTCTCTCATGCTCTCTGTCTCTCATTCTCTCTCTCTCTCAAATAAATAAATAAAATCTTTAAAAAAAAAAAAATGAAAGAAGATTTGAGTTTTAAATATCCTGCTCTCGAGCTGTAGGGTCTGGTTTTATTGTGGTATCTGTGGTGTAATTAGATGAGTTCTGAGAATACCAGCTCTGTTACATAATAGCCTGTGATAATTCCCTCCTGTGGGCAGATCTCTGAGCCTCGGTTTTCCCAGCTGCACAATGGAGTCACAACGTTTTCCCGACGGTGGCTGTGCGGCTTAGATGAGGGCACCTACGGGAATGTACATGTACTGGTTGGAGGGGGCGGGCTAAACTGCTAACAGAGATTACCCCCGGACCTCCGCACCTCCTGCCCCGCCAAATTCAGAGGCTTAAATAAAATAGAAGTTTCTTTTGCTCCCTTTGGCAGTTCAGTGCCAGATACGAGCTGCCCAGACTAGCGGGGTGTCTCTGCTCCATGTGATCATTCAGGATTCAGAGACTTTTCTTATTACCCGACTACTGCAGGCGGTTTCTCACCTCTGGTTGAAGCTGGGTTGCCATGACGTCTTTGTTCTAGCCTGCAGAAGAGGGGACGGGGAAGATGAACGTTCTGCTCATGCTGCACCGGGAGCACCTTAGTCCCGTGGCCAAGTCTAGCTGCAGGGGTGGCTGGGGAGGTAGCCTGTGGTGGGGCGGCCATGTGCCCTGGCAAACTCCAGGGGTGTTCTCTTACCGAGAGGAAGCCATTCTCTTTGTTCCTAAGCTTTATATAAAGAGCATCACGCCCTACTCTTCTTCTGCACATTGTTTTTTCCCCTTGGGGAAATTTGTCCATGCGTTGCCCCAGTTCATTAATTTTCATTACTATTTAATATTCTATCCTATGAATAATTTGCAGATTTGTGTCTTATTGATAGACATTTGGTTGTTCCCGGGGGTTCTGCTAATTCAAACAATGCTGCTTAGGAGCATTCTTGTGTCTATCTCTGGGGCAGGTATCTTGAGTGTTTTTCTAGAGGATGTTCCCCGGATTGGGTAGGAGCACCTTGAGATTCAGTAGACTTTGCCAAATTCCCATCCAAAGCAGTTGTGCCCATTTTTCCCGCCGCGAAGTACAGGTAAGAGTCTGGTGCTCCACATCTCACCGGCACTTGGTACCACAGCCTTAACTTTCTTGCCTCTCTGACGGATGCCCCTGTGTCTTGGCCCTGTTAGGAGGCTACAAATCGGAAGATGGAGCAGCTTAGACAGGAATACATGGAAATCAAGGTGCTCATTGATGCCGCAGAGGCCACCTCCACACGGAAGATAAAGGAAGAGGAGAAGAGGGTCAATACCAAGTTTGACAACATTTACCAGATCCTTCTCAAGAAGAAGAGTGAGATCCAGGCTCTGAAGGAGGAAGTTGAACTTGCCCTGACCAAGGGGGACGAGTTTGAGTTTCTGGAGGTAGGTCTCGACGAAGACATGGTCGAATGCACTTTCTGTCTGCCCACATGCCGTTGACGACACGTGCAGTGAGGCCACCGGGAGACGGGGCTGTACGAGGTCCCCGGGAGCTGCCCCGAGATACTCGCTATGTCCGTTTTCTGTGCCCTGGGACACCTTACCACAAACCTACTGGTTTGGAAGAGCATTTATTTGCTATCTCACACTTTCCGTGGCTCAGGGGTCGGGGCATGGCTTAGGGGCTTGCCGGCTGAGGATTGGCTGCGCTGCATTCCTTTTGGAGCTGCGGGTTGTCTTCCAAGCTCCTGTGGTTGTTGGCGGACTTCAGTTCCCGTGGTGCAGCCCGAGGGCCCCCTTTCTCGCTGGCTGTTGGCTGAGGTCTGCTCTCGGTTCCCAGAAGCTGCTGCAGTTCCTTGGCATGTGGCCCTCTCTCGGCTTGCCAGGTACTTCTTCAAAGCCAGTGGAGAATTTCTCCCTCCAGGAAAGCCTGGTCCCTTTTTTTTTCTGCTTAGATTACTTAGATTATTAGTCTCTCTCTCCTTTTTTAAAAATTTTAATTAAGTAGGCTCCATGCCCAACATGGGGCTTGAACTCATGACCCTGATATCAAGAGTCACATGCTCTACCAGCTGAGCCAGCCAGGCACCCCTCTTTTTTTTTTTAACATTTTAATTCCAGTATCTAGTTAACATACATTGTTATATTAGTTTCCCCATGTACACCAGATTCAACAATTCTGTACCTTACTCAGTGTTCATCATGATAAGTGTGGTCTTAATCCCCATCACCTAGTTCCCCCATCCCACCACGCCCCGCCCCTCTGGTAACCACCAATTTGTTCTCTAGAGTCTGCTTGGCTCTCTCTCTCTCTCTCTCTTTTTCCCCTTTGCTCGTTTGTTTTGTTTGTTAAATTGCCACAAATGAGTGAAATCATGTGGTATTTGTGTTTCTCTGACTGACTTATTTCACTTAGCATTCTACTCTCCAGATCCGTGCATGTTGCAGATGGCAAGATTTCATTCTTTCTTATAAGCCTGGTCCCTTTTAATGGCTCCTATCTGGTTAAGTCAGGCCCACCAGGATACTCACCTTCCTGATGAACTCAAAACCAACAGATTTGGGATCTTCATTACATCTGCAATATTCCTTCAGTTTTTCCATATAAGGCAACTGAATCACAGGAGTGCTGTCCTAGCACATTCACTGTCCTGCCCATACTCAGGGGGAGGAGATTATACAGGGTGTGCACCCCTGGGCCAGGTGGGCATCCTGGGGGCCATCTTAGAATGTTGCCTGCTGCAAACGCCTCCACCCCCTTCCTTCCATCCCTCCTCCCCATGGACCCTGGAAGTGTCTCTGAAGGCCCTGGGTGACCAGGCCCTGTCTTTGCCAGCACCCTCCTCTCTTGCCACCCACGCCCTGCCCATGCCCCGTGCTGTAACCACAGCAGAGCACTCACCATTCCCCAGACACCCTGGGCATTGGATGGGAACACCGTGGCTGACCTGCTCTGCCTGGTAGATCTTCTCCTTTCTCCGGGCTCACTCCAGCTTCCCCCCATCTTCCTCAGATCCCGTTATTCTGCCATTACTGGTGATTGAGGAGCTCACATGTCCTCTGCTGTCGCACCCAGCGGCGCCGTTTTACATGCGCTTGTTGTTGGCTGTGTTCAGGCCGCCCGCTCCCTTATTACCTCCCCCTTCTCCTGGCATGCAGCCCGTGTTCCCGTGAGCCCCATCGATGGGGCAACGACAGCTCAGAGGACCAGGTTCCTTGTGTAGGTCCTGGGGAGAGTACAGGAGTGACTGGGAACCTTCTCTTCTCCCTGAATGGACTTCTTTCCATGCCTGGGCTGGGCACCCCTGACTTTCATCTCAGTGTTCCTTCCTGTTTGTTGGAGTAACTGCCTAGAGCTTTCTTTTTTTTAAAGTATTTTTATTTATTTTTGTGAGAGAGGGAGAGAGAGCGTGCACATGAGTGTGGGGGGAGGGGCAGAGGGAGAAGCAGGCTTCCCACGGAGCAGGGAGCCTGATG